CACACACACACACACACACACACACACACACACACACACACACACACCTTGGTGTATGCAGCCTCTGTCTCTGCGATGGTTCGGTCAAAAGTGGAGCGGGCGGCGAGTCTTTGAGCCAGGCTCTCGTTGACTCTGCACAGCTTCTCTGAGAGGACGCGGATGTCGTGCTGCAGCCGGACCTTCTCCTCTTCCTCCTGCTTGATCTGACTGTTCAACTCCTCCCGCTTGGAGCACAGCTCCTCGATACCTGACGGAGACAAAAAGGTTCATTACACCGGAGCCTCGCTGGGTCAGCTTTAGGCCAGTGATGGATGATTCTTCAATGCTTTCCTCTGTAGACTGAATATTTTGGACTGTTGGTCGGACGAAACAAGCAATATGAAGACGCTACCTTGGGCTCTGGGAGATTGTGATTTAGTAGGCTAGATGATTAATTAAAAAACACATTGGAAAGATAAATTTGAAAATGACATTACATTACATTACATTTTTGGGGTAGTTTTAAACATTTCTGACCATTATTAATAAATAATTCAACCTTCAAATGAGGTCTGACAGACTAGAAACAGATAAAACAGCATCTGATAGCGAATGAACTTGGTTCATGGATCTTTATCAGAAACTGAAAACACTTTGACTGTACATTTTTGTTAGTTTTAGGGATGAGCCAACCAATGTGTTAAACCTACTCCAGCTATTTAAAAGTGATAGCTGGTAGCCCTCAGCTGCACTGTTGTGTTGTGCATTGCGTTAACAGCTGATCTCCAGATGATACACATCATAATCTGTAAAGGTTCATCAGATCGTGCAGTACTATCCTGCCCGTTGTTGGTCTAATATTAAAGTCTGCACACCCCGTCGCCGAAACTGTCACCTGCGGTTAACGTTAATCCTCTCAGCGTCACAGTATTTTCATTCATCAATAGAATTATTGAATGACAAGATAAATGAGTAACTTACACTTAACCAGTTCATTGTTGTAGGTCTGCAGAGCAGCAGCTTGCTGAGTCATGTTGGATCTGAAATAACCGCCGAACTATAATCTTCCACCGCGGCTCAACACTGCTTAAGCGAGTTAACTAACTTACTATTTATCTGAACTCCTGCGGTCGGGGCTAGCTTCTGATTCGTCTCACTGAGGTAAGCGCGCCAGGGCTGAGACGTGTATCCGAACATACAGATGTCTTTCCACATAAAAGTGTTTTGAACTAACAATGAGTACCCGTACGAGGCGGGTTTCCCGGGACAACTGAACCAAAGATATCTTCTTCTTCTTCTTCTTCTTCTTCTTGTTTGAGGTTTATTGGCGGTTGGCAAACAATGAATTAGTGCATTACCGCCACCAACTGGTATGGAGTGTGGATCAGGATGTCTAATAGGCTACTTATATACAAAATTAAATTCAAAAGGAAAAGAAAAAAGAAACAAAACAACGAGCTCATATTTTCTTAATAATATTAATTAATCTAAGATATTGAAATGAACCAAAGATATTACCGGATACGATACGGATGTACCGACCGTTCTTCTTCGTCTTCTTATTTTTAGCTGCTATAGACCTAATGTGCTGCGCTGGCGCCCTCTTCTGGTCATTGTTTGTACTACAAGGCAAGGCGACGCAATTACATTTGAAACGCTAACATCTTCTACTGAAGTAAAAGTAACAATACCGCAATGTGGATATGCTAATATTATGCAATGCATTTTGAAAAGTAAAAGTGCAAAAGACTTGCATCAAATGGAAGGCTAAAGTTTCGAAAGTAAACGTATGCAGAATTACCCATTTAAGAAGGATTTCATATTATTGAATTATAATTATTGATGCATTAAAGTGAACATGACCTTAATGCTGCAGCTGGTAAAGGTGCTACTATTGTTAATTACTTAATATACAGCCCCAACATCTAATCTAACCTGGTATAATACACTCAGTTAGGTCCACCCAGTTAAAATACAGTCTAATACAACAATCAGGATGTAGTTTAGTGTTGGTGAACTGTGTTGCATTATATGGAGAGATATTTCTGTTATTTAGCCTACACTACAGTTAGCACACATTTAAAATCATTTAAACACCTGTAAACAGAAAACTGATTATTATAACCTTCACAAAGGCAGGATTTATTGCAAAACAGTGATAGTATGACTGTTGTAGCTCGGTGTACCAAATAAACTGCCCACTGAGTGTACATCATGTATTTGTTCAATGTATTTTGCATCTGAATCTCCAAAGTAACTAGTAACTCAATAAAGTTATTCAATAAATAGGGGAGTAAAAATTATAATATTTGCCTCTAAATCGTAGTTCCAGAAAATAGATATGTTCAAGTAAAGTGCATTTACCTAAATTTTGCATTTAAGTGCAGTACTTGAGTAAATGTAGGCTTACTTAGTTATTTGCCACCAGTGTGTATATCACATTTAATTACAAATAAACTCATTGTGCTTCATATTAAAATGTGCACCCTACTACTATTTACTCATTCTGAGATTAACAGTTTTTTCTCCTCCATTTTGACTTTCTCCTACCGTTACTTCAAGAATAATACTAGAGCGCATTCAGTTTATTTGGAGTTATACTGGTGGCCACTACTGCGTGTTTCAGTTTAAACTAATTCAAACAGTTTGAATGTTTATGGATAATATTAAATAACTGAAAGAAAGGACTGAAATATGTAAAGAAAAATAAATGCTAGACTACAGATGAGTTTCATTCCAGTCATGAAGAACTGAGAAAAGAGAGGAAATGAAACATTCATCAGGCATAAACACAGATGAGAGGAGGAATCCGAACATCTGGAGAGTATATCTGTTATTGAGTGAAGACTAAGCAAAGGAGGGCACCTGCTGGTGTAACACAGACACAACAACAAGACCGAAGCAAAGTTAACAGTAACGAGTGCAAAGGGGGGTGCTTCATAGAACAAGATTACTAGGTTTACCTCAGTAGGTCAGGCCTTTTCTCAGGCAATTCTGTTTAATGAAGCCAAGGTAAATAAGCTACAATAGAAGTGAAAGACAATGTGTGTCCTCAAAGCCAAGTAAGCATTTACATGAGTCTAAACAGCAGATTGTTTGAGTTGCCCTATAATAAAAGCAAAGATATGATATTAACATGGCTTTGTTCTAATCAAGTGCCATTTGTGTTTGCATTGATTGTATGTTTGTATTTGTATATCTTTGTTGATATTTTATTGAGATGCAGCTTTTTCAGTATGTTTGAATGCTGTAGTCAGGCTATTACACAGTCCACTTCTCTGTGATCTTAATATCTAAAAGGTATTATCAACATTATTGTTATTGACATTACAATAAACAATCATATTCCCAGGTGTGGTATTACACCGGCTGCAAATCGATATACGTGACGTAATCGCGGGTGGGCGGAGTTAACGTCCAGGCACCATGGCTTCGGTTGGACCCGAGGTGAGTGTTGTGAGCGTTATCCACGCTAAGCTCGTTTTACTTTCAAATTGTTTTTCCGGGCCTAAGGAAATATGTTCCGCGCCGGGCAGCCAGAACCCCGCTTGTAAATGGGCGAATTGTCGGCGTGAGGTGTCGCGTTGTCGTAAATTTCCCGCTGCCAGCCCGCAGTCTCTTGCTTTTGTGCTGGACCGGAGGGCAGCTGAATGTGCAGGAAGATGCTGCGCCCCGGAACCTGAATTGTCCGTCCGGGCGCGGTGTGGACTGTGGAGCCGAGCTTTAGTTATTCATGTTCCAGGCTCACGTCACTGTCCTGCTTCTGTTCAGTTTTAGCGGTTCAAAATAAATTGGAGGTAGATATGCGTGCAGCTGGGGCCGATGCTATTCGTGGTTTTAGCCGTATTGTCGGTCACCGGCTCACTGATGGCTAATTCCTACTCTGCTGTTTAGCTAGCTGCTAGCAGCCGTGCTAGTTAGCGGACAGTGCACACTTTCTCAAATCCACACAAAAACTGATTTTTTTAAAGGGTTAACATCTTCTTTGAACGACGGAGGCTAATCTCTATATACTGTGTTATAGTACGTGTTATGCCCGGCTGATAATGTTGTATTCCCCTTATGCTGTGCAGTTTGTTAGCTACATGATAACTGATGCAGTCAAATGAAGGAAACATTGGCAGTGCTGCCTGCAACCTCCCACTGTAAACATATGGCGCCAGCTTTGATGCTCGTTGCATGATTATGTTTTCACATTAAACTTATGTTTTTTTTTTGGTGATTTTCTTTCTCCTGTTGCAGTTTTGTCTTTGTTAGCTATCTGCAGTTATAGCCATGGCTTTCTGTCGGTGTAAACCGGTCCAGGGTCGGCTGTAACAAGTTGCGATGTTGTCCTAATAAGGTTTAACCCGTTCAAATGAACTGGATGAACCGATAGCTTGGCTACAGAGGCACAGAAGTGTTCCAATGTGTGGGAACCTGAAGTCTTTTGTTTCTTTTTTCTTTTTTTGAGAGATCCACTCTTGTTCGGCAGAGGTCGCTCGAGCAGCGTTGAGATATGTGCTCGTCAGCGAGGTGTAGTACAGAAAGGTGTGGGACACTGAGCTCGTGAGCCACTGTGGTTTGCACTCATAACTTTGTCTCGTGGGATGTGTTGATGCATTTGACACATGTAGGGGTCAGTTCACCCAAATTACGAAAAAAATACACATTTCTCCACATACCTCTGGTGGTATTTTTTTTAGAAACAATGCCCCTAAATCACGAGACCCCATCATCAGTTTTCGCTGGATCTACTTTTTGCCAATAGAAATAGTCCCAATGAAAACTGTTGACAATGAAGGGGCGGGATGACTCGTCCTGCTGAATTGATGAGTCAATGAATAGATCAGTCGACTGTCCGAATATGAATAGCCCAAAATCTTGATTAGCACTCAAGTTATTTATGAAGGAAAAAGGTGAAGTTCCAGTTTTTCAAAAGGTGAATTGAATGAGTCTTTGTTTAATCAATAAAGATTCTGCTTTTATTTCAATGTGTGCTGTTGATTTCACAGCTTTGACTTACAAAGAAAGTGGAAAACGTGTTACTTCCTGTGTGACGGCCTTAGTTTGAACAGACTTTATTTCAATTGCTGGTACAGATGGCATTTGGTTTCCCAGGGGCAGATTTGCAGCACATTAACAGCACGTTATTTTACAGCACCATCCTTAATGTTTAACAACACTCCATCATGCAGATGAAACAATTTACCACAACTGTAATTATCATATTTTAACTGAAAAAGGTATATATATATATATATATATATATATATATATGTGTGTGTGTGTGTGTGTATATATATATATATGTGTGTGTGTGTGTGTGTGTGTGTGTGTGTGTGTGTGT